TAGAGTTTACAGTTTAGGGCTTAGGGGGTGTCATTTATGGCTTCGTTTTTTTCGTGTTCAAGGTTGGTGTTTGTGTTGGGTTTAGCGAGGTTGCGGCACAGGGACCGGGATTTCGGTTGGGTGTACTTGGGTGTACCACTTTTTCCAACTACCCACATCAGATGACCAGGGGGGGTTGGTCTTGTAGGCCTCTGGGGAAGAGGCTCTGAGTGCTTGATCCTGTATGGCACAAGTTGGGTCACGGAGAACGGGCTGCTGTAGTCTGCCGGTGTATGGTTCCGACCAGGTATGTAGGTAGATCAAAAGCGAATTGAAGCGGTTTTCTTGAAGCCTTTCTTTCCGGGTTAGGGCCTAGTTAGAGCCAGTTGATGTCTAGCTGAAGATGTTCTTTCTGACCTTTTGTGGTTCAGCGGGGGCGACTCCCTGGAAACAATTTCCGCTTTCGAACACTCTGAGGCCGTCAGATGCCATTATGAACTTTCAACAGAGGGCCTCCTCCTCAAACACCTGTGCATTCGAAACCTACGAGGGTTAGCACCAGGAGGCGGTGGAGTGCATGGTGAGTGCGGCTGTTTGTGCCGTCGAGTCTGCGCCCTCTGGAAAGGCTCTCCAGCCATCTCGGTCTCGGGTTTGGCGGTTCAGTGGAGTGCTGTGCGAAGGGCTCGTAGATAAGGTTTTTAAAAGCAAGGTGCTGCCTGGAATACGCGTTTTCCTTGGAAGTGTGTGTTGTGGTTCACATCCTTCATAGCGAATGTGTGGATGTTACCAAGTGCCGACGTGACGCCAGATTGAGAAAGGACTCTGACCATGGTGCAGCATGCAGAAAATGCTGATTCCCCCGTGTGGCAGGGGAGAAATCATAATTTTGTGTCCAAAAATGGTGATTCCCCTGTGTCGGGGCAGGCAGAGAGGGGGCACGCGCGGGAATCAGTGTTTTGCAAGTTTCCAGAGCCCAAATCTTCCAAAACGGTGATTCCACCCCCCCCCCCCTGTGCCGGTGGAGAGGGAGGCGGGGCCACGTGCGGGAATCAGGTTTTCATGCCTTGTCGTGGTGCTGGTATGTGCTGATGCTGATGATGCGTCCAGCTTTGCTGCTGCTGCTGATGCCTTGTCGTGGTGAGGTTTTCATGCCTTGTCGTGGTCAGGTTTTGAATGCGCTGTCATGGTGCAGTTGCTTTTCTGTCGTGGTGCCAATATTTCTTGCTATGGTGTGGAAACTTTTTTCGGTAGTGGTAACAACGCGCTCTTGGCGCTAGGTGCTGGAGATAGGTTGAGCCACATGTTCTGAAGCCTAGACACGATACAGCCTCTACGGAAAGCCCAGAACTACCGCCTAAAGTGGTTTTGGAGGTGCTCGGCAAGCTATTTCACTCCCTGCAACAGTTGCAGGCCCTGGGGTCTCCAATGTCAGAGCTTGGAAAGTGTGAGTGTGTTGCAGTTGCACTCATTTGGTTTTCGGCTACTTCTCCGACACAGAGTCTTGGGCTCGGGGTTTCTGGTGATGTAGCGGTCCCAGGAAGCTTCTATGAGGGACATCGAGGATTCTTGTTCCAGTGATCTGCCAGCTTTGCAGATGAACTAAGCTTCAGTGGCCGTTGTGCGCAGGAGTTGAGTCCGACAGCCTCGTGGATGAATTAGGACGTGACCTGCATGGCTCGTGAAGCCGCAGCCGCGGTGCGTCATGCCCACAAGCCCCAAGAGAACCAAAATTAGCTGAGCCGTTCACGTGGATCAGCAAGGCATTGTTGTCACACTGCAAGATTGGATGGGCTTCCCCAGGCAAAGGGGGAGACGGGCATGGGAGGAGACACAAAGCAACGTGAACGAGACCAAGTAAGGAAGGGAAGCGAACGCCGAATTCCAGCTGCGAACAGTCAAAGTCCTGCTGCATTTCAACCGGTTCCACATTGCGAGGGTGTGCCCCTGGCCTGGGATTCGCGTTAGGGTCCTGGCCAGCTTGGGTGGGTGGCTTTGGATCTGAAGTCAAACAAGACTCTAGATCTTTCGTGTTGTAAAAACTCCAAACCCCTACTGTAAATCTGCAACAAACACAGTGGCCCAGGAGTTGCCTGGGATCCTTCTCGACATGGCAGATGCAGTGAGAGGTTTGCCGTGAGGAGAATACAGCTGTGGACGTGCGAAAAGGCTTGACTTTGCTGCCCCTCGTACGATGCCCAATTCTAGTAAAGTCTTCGGCGCAGAAGAGGCTAAGGATGGTGGGCTTAGGGTGTAGAGCAGGGTAATGCAAAGCAAAGCAGTTCAGGCGCCTTCGGCTGCTCGTCACGACGAACTTGACAATTGAGTGCTAATTCAAGCCATGCACCCTGAAACTCATGCCCCAAAGAACTCAGCATTTGCGTTTCCGGGCTCTCTGGTGGTTTCGAGTGGTTCTGTCAGTTATGTTGCATGGCTTGTCTTTGTCGCCTTAAAGACAGCATCTGTCAGGCTACCCGAACCCGGTTAGGTTTCGGCTCAGCACAGTGCTGCAGCCTTCCATTCACGAATTGGCTTGAGAGGAGGACGTTTTTATCGGAAAGAGAGGGTTGAGAGATTCCGGGTTATGTGAGGGGTAAGGACTCTCGGGTCGTTGGGGTTGAGATTTCGGGTGTGGAGTCACACAGGCTGTCCATGGCCGATGTCGTGAATATGTTTGTGTGCTTCCATGCGCGCTGATGCTGCGCCTTGTCTGGACCATGGCGGTAGCGCTGGCAGACTCCGCAGAGCGCGAAGACATGGCCAGCCCATGGTCATGTTGGGGGAATGGCAGCTGGTTTGACTGCTGTGCTCAGGGGCAGCGGTGCTGGGCAAATATCCGGAGGCAGCGGAGGTGTTGTAGCAGCTCCCCAGAATTGGAGCCCATGCTGACGGACTTGCACATGTGCAGCAATGACGTTGCGCTGCGGCGCACGTTTCGGCTCGTGTCGCACCAGCAGATCGGCTTTGAAGAGGATTGTGAGTCTCTCTTGGTTTGCAAACCAATCGAAGGTGGCTGGAAAGCAGTGCGGAGTGGCTTGCCAAGCTGCTCAATGGGGTCTTCCGCCAAACTGGTGCCGCCTCTGACGGATCATCTTTGCTCCGTGTTGGATCCAATACCGGCAGAGATGTGGTACGATGCAGTGGGCTTCGAGCGTATTCGCCACAGATATCGCTTCGGCACGGCCGACCGGCATCACTGCGCTGTGCCGGCATGGTTGTTAGTGAAAGAAGAAACACTTCGATTATACACCCTCATTCAGGCAAACTCACGGGTGACTAGAGTGTTGATCAACATCGGCGCTGCAGACGCTGTGATGAGTGATCCTTTGGCTGGCACGTTGCGAACTTTTTCAGGAGGCAGTGGTCGTTCCCCTTGGAAAGGAATTTATTTCGAGGCGGCGCAGGAGAATTGCCGTGCGATCCGAAAAGAGTTGAAGAAGAACGATGCTCGGATTCATGTGGAATGTGGCTACACCACACCGACTTCGGTGGTTCCGAGCATTTGCCAACAGCTCCGACGCCAGGACATTCCAGGTATCGGCCAAGTCTGCCATGCTGCAGCCGTGCCAGGCATGAGCCCAGGCACGGGTGACACTTCCCCCGATTCGTCTCTGCGCGTGGAAGTGGATGCCATGAATGTTGACATCGATTCCTACGACTGTGCAGTGTTGCGTGAAGCACTTCGGATCCTGAGTCCAAAGATGATTAGCGTGGAGATTTTTCCATATCCTCCCCCGATCGTAGTCTCTTCAGATTTCCACCCGCAACACCAAGAAAGCGAGAACAGGAGCGTCTCTGGAAAGAAAGCAAAGCTCGGTGGCACTGGGCGCCAAGGAGCCTTCGTGATGGGTTGTTCTTTGAGCGCAGTTGTGGCCCTGCTGTGGCCACATGGCCTGGGGCTGTACCGCCTCAGTGCGCGTGACGCGCTCTTCGTGCGTGGCGATGTGGCGAGGGAGATTGAATTGAATCCGGGGGGTGGGCCATGGATTCCGGCAGACGAGTTCCAGTGCTGGCGGACGCTCTGTGCAGACTTGGGAGAAACGGAGAACCTGATGAAGCTCACATCATTGGGAGTTCATGAGCATCTGATGCCTTGGGTGCATCGACGCATTAGAGATAAGCTGCTCCACGGTTCCTACCCAGCACATCCTCTCACTGTGACACTGGCCATGCCGCCTCCAGTGCGTCAACTGCCCGACGTCAAGCTGTTTGGAGCGGAGAGTCGAAACTGGGTTATAAACATAGTGAATAGACAAAGACATAGGCATAGGTAGACAGAGATATGCAGTTAAATGTCAGCACAAATGTAAATGTAAATATACGTGCAAAGATACATGTAAACATACATGTAAACATGAATGTAAATAACTATGAATAAAAAAAAATATATAAGAACAAGCACACAAATAAACAATAAGTATCCAAATAAATGCACCAACAAGTATATGTATGTATGTATGTATATATATATATATATGTATAGATATGCATTAGAACCAGTGGGCTTGCGCTGTATAACACACCACAAGCAACATTTTTCCGAGCTGCTGTTTTTTTAATGGAAAGCGGCGAATGAGACCTTCGTGGGAGGGGTGGAGTGGGTGTGCATGTTTCATAAGTTTTAGCCGTTTGCATAGGTTTGGGGTGGCAGGGCTTTTCGTTCAATGTGAAGTACACGACCTCCAGTTCCTGGCTGCCGTTTTTGTTCACCAAGTTCCGTCTTAAATACCCATGCACATGAAGGCCGGCCAAAGGACACAAGCCATGGAGTCGCTCCACACTGCGCTAATTACTGTGGAAGCAGGACTTGCAGAGCCCAAACATATCTTGCCAACTCTGAAATCCGAGCGGCGATGCTCTCCAAGTCCGGAGCTCAATTTTATCAACTGCAACTCTCGTGAGCATGGCATGCTTGGTGGATTTGCATTCATGACGACAGAGAAGAAAGACGCTGCTGTGAGTTTATATGTTTGGGCTGTTTCAGCCGGTCTCTGTACGGGCCTTCTGGGACTGCCTGTCGAGTTTCAGTCGATTCGATTTCGCGGCATGCCAACTGCCAGAGGCTGCACTTCTGCTAAGCATCCGCGACCACTTGTCACGCGTTCAACCCCAGGCATGCCTGGTTCGGCGACAGCTCGCGAGGCGCGGCCCTCGCTTGGCTTGTCAATTTTAGGACATGGCATTTCTGATATCAGAATGAGCGTGGGCTGAATGCTGCCGAGACCTGTAAGCTTGCAAGGCCCTATGTATGCCGCACGCGCAAATCCCGACAAAAAGGATGTTTGACAATCCAAATCCAAGAAAACTACTGTTTCTCGAGGAGGCGACAGCTTCGCGAGGTCTCGCGACCTTGTAGGTGGGCCGCGCTGAACAATCACGGTTAGGCTTCCCTTAGGCAGGATCCCATTGCTATGGCACAGCAGGTAAGTCCACGGCGTTGGATTTGCAGGGGCGAGGTGCATGCAAAATTGCTACAAGGATAGCAGCACTTCCAAATCGCGGAGGGCACCAGGTTCTGTTTCTGCAGCATGTTTCCGGGTCGGGTAGCTTCCGAGTTGATTGTCCGGACTCCTGGTTGTTCCGGAAGCCTCATACATACAGCGAGAGACAAAATCTACGTATCTTGTTGTCTATTTGTCTATCTATCTATCTATCTATCTACCTACCTACCTACTTACCTATCTACCTATCTACCCATCTACCATCTATCTATCTACCTATCTATCCATCTATCTATCTATCTACCATCTATCTATCTATCTATCTGTCTATCTATCTATCTATCTATCTATCTATCTACTTGTCTATCTATCCATCCATCCATCCATCCATCCATCCATCCATCCATCGATCCATCGACCGATCCGTCCGTCATCCGTCCATCCGTCCATCCATCCATCGATCCATCGATCCATCCATCGATCTGTCTGTCTATCTGTCTGTCTTTCTGTCTGTCTGTCTGTCTATGCAAATACCATGTACGATATATGTTGTATGATATATGATACACGGTATATGGCATACGGTGTATGGTGTACATATAGACATACATGTACAAATACATATATATATATATACCTATCCATATATGTTGCTGTATGTATACATATAAATATATATACATACACATGCACATTTGTGCGGAACCTGCCTAAGCAGTGCTGTATACACATACACACGTACACGTACATGAATGCATGCAGGCACATACATACACATAGATAGATGGATGGAAAGACAGATAGACAGATAGATAACAGAAAGACAGATGTATAAAAAGGGTCGATATACAGATCGACAGACACAGCTATTTGCGGTGCATTTACGTGTATAACCGCCCATTGCTCTCAGGTGGCCTGGCTTCAGAGTTGGTCGCTGCCGCGTCGTCGCTGCTGCCGCACAGCGAAGGCGGTCGATGCACGGGATCGGTGTTGGGTTTATGCAGTGTAGGGTTTCAGGATTCATAAGAGCTTGTCAGGATCGACGTTTGGAGCTAAAGTGACCACTTCAGACCAAACCTTCGAGTCGAACTAGGCCCGCAATTCTGAATGTGCCAGGCTGCGCTGGAGTGCGAAACTGCATCGCGTTTCTCTCAGGAGGCAGCAGGCAACGTTTCTTGCAGTGCTCCGTCGCCCCACCGCTATTCCGTGGCCACGGCTTTT